TCTCTGCTATGACCACCCTGTATCTGTCCCCAAGACACACCTCAGGAAACCAAAATAGTGAAATATAGCAAATCTCCTCCATCTCCCACGCTCAGTGCCACAGGAATCACCCTGGAACTGTGGCTGGAGGGAGAAGACATCTCACATGAATAAATATTGAGCAACACTCACTTGCTAGAAGACTTACAACCTGCAGAAAAAAAAAATACACCTCTCCGCATGTCTCAGACCTTTATTTCCACCCTGTGCTTGCCTGGACAGGAGGGCCTCAGCACAAGCACAAAAGAAAACGCAGAAGTAAATAACTTCCTCCCCTTCAGCAATGCACCCAAGGCACAAAAATTATACAGAAACAACATCTAGTTTGTTGTTTTTCTAAACAAAGGAACAATCTGTAAATGAGGAAAACATAGAACATCATCAGCCACACTAACAGCAACCAAGAATCAGTCCAGGAACAATTGGTATGCCAGGCAAGTGTGGTGATGCAGAAGTGAGGCTTTGCTGTACAGCAAAATGGAAACTTTGCAGGGCTGCAAACCGTTGCAGAATGAGTAACCCCAGTTCTAGTTGCACGAAGCCAGGATTTCGAGGTGCACACAACCTTTTGATGGCTGCAAACTGCCACCTCCACTGCAATTGCTGCATTTTAGATCAACCTAAGGACACAGGCACATTCTCTTGCTCCAACAGGAAGAGTGCCTTAGTATGAACATGCAATGAATGAGCGTTTTTGACACACACTATTAACCTCCGCATACATAATATTTTCTAATGGACGCAGCTGCAGTACCGTAGCAGAGTCACCTGGGAGTTCTCTCTTCCCACTGTGGTGCCTGTGCTTTGGAGAAACTTGTTGCATTAAATGAGCACGCTCAGGAAGAACAAAAAGCCTCACTGCAGAGAGGCAAGCAGCTCACCAATCCTACAAAGCAGTGCAGTCTGTGAGGCTATCTTATGAACAAAAAAAAAAAAAAAAAAAGCAAGAACCAACACAGAAGTCAGCTGAGAGGGGAAACCAGAGGAAACGGCCTCTATCAAAGTTCTGAACCCAGAAGGCAGAAGAGCTTCAAAAGCAACTTAAGGGAAAAGTGAAACAGAAAAAGGCACCTGCCTGGGGGGGTGGGGGGGGTCTCTTCCCAGGCAGCTTGGTCTGTGCTCTTTGAACACAGGCTCCACCCCAGAGATAACACTACTGCATTTTGCTTTTCCAGGCTTTGTCTACATACAAAGGTGCCCAGTGTTACTCACACCGGCGCTCAGCACAGCGAGAGCACGGGTAGCTTGCCTAGAGATAAGGACATTTATACCAAGTGACTGTCTTCCACAGCTAAATTGTGCTCAGATAAGCACCTTTACAGCCTCTGCACTGAAGCTAGTGTGTCACTCTCAGTAAAACAGCCACTGCCCCCTGGGCCAGGACACTCACTAGGCCTACACTGGACTTGCTCTGATGCAGGTTGCTTTATCAGAAGTAAATTTGAAATCCTATAAGAAACATCTCTGTAAACGCACCTCCTCCCCAGCAGCAGCTCTGTCTTGAACTGCTCCAACCCTTGTCCCACAGTCCCACCCCTTCCTTTTCCCCTCATCCCTGCTCCCCACCTTCGCCTCCTATCCCAGTCCCCATGTCCTCCTTTTTGTCTCTCTCTTCTCCCCCCTCAGACCTTGCACCATCACCATTCATCCTACTGGCCCGAGCCCTGTAAGGCAGCCAACTCCTCTTCTTCTCAGCCGTATCTCACCTTCTTCCTTTTCAGTAACTCAGTCTTTACAACCAGCTCCTCTTCCTGCAGCCCAATATCCTCATCCCTCATGTCCTCAGCCCAGCTGTCACCTTCACAGGGCCCCCTCCCTCAGTTTTGCTCCCCTAGACCCCCCCCCGCCCTCCCCAAACCCTTCCCCCCTCAGCTCTCCCTCCTTGAGCTCTGTACCCTCTCCAGCCCCTTCCTCTTCTACCAGGCCTCCACACTGCCCTGGCACCACCATCACCACTCAGGCTGGCTCTCTCTTCTAGTTCTGCCGGCCTAGCTTTGCCTCCTCATCCTCTAGGCCTTCACTCTACCCTAGCTCTAATTAACTCTTACTTCCTCCACTTCAGTTCTGTTCCCCCAGCCCAGATCCCAGATCACCCGCTCGCAGCTCCACCCCCTCCCCCAGACCCGCCTCACCACCCCGCAGGCATCTCTCTTCATCTCATACTAAAGCC